AGAAGACAAGTTAATGGCAAAGAGGGAAACTGAGGAAAAAAGAGATAAACAATTGAAGGACCATGAAGACAGATTAAGGCAAATAAACGACAGCCTGAGGCAGAAAAACCTACGTTTAATTGGGGTTCCCGAGGGCGCCGAAAGGGACAGAGGGCCAGAATATGTATTTGAACAAATCCTAGCTGAAAACTTTCCCAATCTGGGAAGGGAAACAGGCATTCAGATCCAGGAAATAGAGAGATCCCCCCCTAAAATCAATAAAAACCGTTCAACACCTCGACATCTAATAGTGAAGCTTGCAAATTCCAAAGATAAAGAGAAGATCCTTAAAGCAGCAAGAGACAAGAAGTCCCTGACTTTCATGGGAGGAATATTAGGGTAACAGCAGACCTCTCCACAGAGACCTGGCAGGCCAGAAAGGGCTGGCAGGATATATTCAGGGTCCTAAATGAGAAGAACATGCAACCAAGAATACTTTATCCAGCAAGGCTCTCATTCAAAATGGAAGGAGAGATAAAGAGCTTCCAAGACAGGCAGGAACTGAAAGAATATGTGACCTCCAAACCAGCTCTGCAAGAAATTTTAAGGGGGACTCTTAAAACTCCCCTTTAAGAAGAAGTTCAAGTAACTCTGAACGTGAATGGGCTTAATGACCCCATCAAAAGGCGCAGAGTTTCAGACTGGATAAAAAAACAGGACCCATCTATTTGCTGTCTACAAGAGACTCATTTTAGACAGAAGGACACCTACAACCTGAAAATAAAAGGTTGGAGAACCATTTACCATTCAAATGGTTCTCAAAATATACCCTAAAAACTACAGAACACTTCTGAAAGAAATTGAGGAAGACACAAAGAGATGGAAAAATATTCCATGCTCATGGATTGGCAGAATTAATATTGTGAAAATGTCAATGTTACCCAGGGCAATTTACACGTATAATGCAATCCCTATCAAAATACCATGGACTTTCTTCAGAGACTTAGAACAAATTATTTTAAGATTTGTGTGGAATCAGAAAAGACCCCAAACAGCCAGGGGAATTTTAAAAAAAGAAAACCATATCTGGGGGCATCGCAATGCCAGATTTCAGGTTGTACTACAAAGCTGTGTTCATCAAGGCAGTGTGGTACTGGCACAAAAACAGACATATAGATCAATGGAACAGAACAGAGAACCCAGAAGTGGACCCTGAACTTTATGCTCAACTAATATGCGATAAAGGAGGAAAGACGATCCACTAGAAGAAAGACAGTCTCTTCAATAAATGGTGCTGGGAAAATTGGACATCCACATGCAGAAGAATGAAACTGGACCACTCTCTTGCACCATACACAAAGATAAACTCAAAATAGATGAAAGATCTAAATGTGAGACAAGATTCCATCAAAATCCCAGAGGAGAACTCAGGCAACACCCTTTTTGAACTTGGCCACAGTAACCGGAGAAGGACAAACGGTGTATGTTCTCATTCATTTGGGGAATATGAATAATAGCGAAAGGGAATATAAGGGAAGGGAGAAGAAATGTGTGAGAAATATCAGAAAGGGAGACAGAACATAAAGACTTCTAACTCTGGGAAATGAACTAGGGGTGGTGGAGGGGGAGGAGGGTGGGGGGTGGGGGTGAATGGGTGACGGGCACTGGGGGGTACACTTGACGGGATGAGCACTGGGTGTTATTCTGTATGTTGGTAAATTGAACACCAATAAAAATTAATTTATAAAAAAAAAAAAAAAAAAAAAAAAAAAATGAGGCACATCCTGAAATATTGACAAATGAAGTGCCATGCTGTCTGGAGTTTTGCTTCAGTGTTGGTGGCACAGGAGGAACAAGAGTGGCCCTGGTAACTGAAGCCAAATGATGGACACATGGGGTTCATTATACTGTTCTCTCCTCTTTCATAGAAGTTTGACACTTTCTATAATAAAAAAAACTTTAAAAAAAGACTTATCCAGGTGGCAGCCCTTCCCAACAGAGAAGTGAGCATGATTAAAGGGGTGGTGGGATGAGTAAGTCACGGGGATGAAAGGCATAGCGTAATGAGTACAGTCAGTGGTATGGCAACAGCTTGGTTGGTCTTAGATGGTAGTAGCTACACTTGTGGTGAGCATAGCAAAATGTAGAAACTTATAGAATCACTGTGTGGTACATCAGAAACTCATGTAACATTGTGTCAGCTATACTTGAATTAAGAAAAATATTAAAATGGGGGGGTGTAGAGGTTAGTGGCAACTTCTTGTAGGCAAGGCACAACCAACAGTTCAATGTGGCTGGAGATCCCACTCAAGGCAAAGCAAGGAAGAGCTCAGGGATGAGGCTGGGAACCCAGAAGGGTGATGCCCCCACCCCCTACCACTAAGTCTGCTTGGCCCTGGGAATGAGTGTAAATCTTTGGGAGATGGGGAACCATTGGGATAGTCTCGATGTTGGAAAGAAAGAATCAGATTTGTGCCTTTGCTAGACTTTGTCCAGGAGTTGTGGGATGTCTGGGTTTGAGGGGACTGCCTGGAAAGTGAATCAGAAGGCTGTTGCAAGTGTCCCGGGAAGTGAGTTCAGGACCTGGACAGGATGGTAGTAGGAACAGAGAGAAGGAGCTGGAATGGAGACAGATTTTAGTGGATATGGTTGCCACAACCAGTAGTTAACTACATATTAGGGAAGAATGAGAGAGAGAGAGAGAGAGAGAGAGAGAGAGAGAGAGAGAGAGAGACAAGAATGACCCCAGGCTTGTGATTTGGGGAACTGGACAGCAACCCCATTAACCAAGAGAGGACATGCAGGAGGAGTAGCAATTATAATCTAGTTGTGTTCTGGGGACAGAAGATCCAGGTAGGATACATTATTTTAGATGAAAACTCTAAACCTTCCTTGTGTGACAACTGCACACTCCCTTTCAGCTATCTCTAATCTCTTTCTTCCCTTACAGAATCACAGGAGATAAGAGCAGGGAGAAGGTTCCAGTAGTATTGAGCCCAACACCCTTCCTATACAGTTGGAAAGTGTAGACATGTTAACTGACTCATCTACAAACTTTATTATTTTTTAAATATATTTAAGGCCATCCTCACTTCAAATAAAAAACAATAACAAATCAAACATCCAGAGAACCACTTCTTTCCATCAACTTTCCTACCAATATTCACTCCTTTTTCGGTACTCACTTACCTCCTTCTAATTGGGAATTTGTGTCTTAAATCTCTGTAATGTTTACTTCTCTACCCTCTGAACAATACTACTCTAAAATTAACTGGAAAAGACTCTCTTGTCCATCTAGACAGCGTTTTCTTGGACTGCATCATTTTTCCTCAGCTTTCTGGATCTACACCCTTTCTTAAAACTTTAATGCTTTGGTCTGTACCACTGTGGTCCTTCATTGGGTCTCCTCTTCCCTCTGCTTACTACTCCTTCTCCTGCATCACCCAGTTCTTGTGTCCCCCCTCCTCTAGATCACTATGCTACAGTCATGAGCACAGAACTCCTCTCTCTTCACTCAGTTACTCTGGGGCCAGTCACCTCACAGCATCTACAGTTTCTTCTGGGTTCACTTCCAGGTCCAACACTAGTCCATGTGGAAAAGTTCTGCGCGTGTCCTAAATGGGACCCTCCAATTCTCTTGGCTCATATCACTTGAGGCATGGTGCCTTCTTAAAGAGAAGTAATCCACATTCCCCTGGGGCTCACTGGGAGGGACTCCAGTTGGAAGGGACGTTGACAAATGAGCGTCTTCTGAAAACAGCAATGAGGTTGGTAAGGGACCTAAAAACAACACATGAAAACCACTAGAAAAGGCAAAGAGTGATGAGCTTGGGAAAGACCACACTCTTGGGATCCAGTTTTCTTCAAATTTGTGAAAACCTGTCACAGAGGATGGGGCATAGATGTGGGTTGTTTTCTGTTTTGTTTTTCTGTTTTAGAAAGCAAAAATTTGAAGGAGGTGTATTTAGATCAACCAGAGAAAAGTCCTGCATATAAGTCAGGTTGTTCAACAGAAAAATGAGTGGTCTCTCCTCGCAGGAAGCTCTCTGAATGTCACTGAGGGTTTTGAAGAAGAAATGCCTGCTCTGAGCGAAAATGGCCATATTGCCTTTGAGATCCTTCCTCCTACAACACTCTGTGAATGCCCTCTTGGTAAATAGCCTATCAGCACCACAGACTTAATGTGTCTGACAGGGAATCATCTGTCCTGTCCAATTACTTGAATCTATCATTGGTGCTATTGTTCTTCTAGACTCCTGGATGAAACATCTCAGAGCACCTTTGATTCCGTGCTCTCTTTAGATCTCTGTCTCTCTGTATCCAGAAGTTTCTTTGATTTGCTTTGCTCTTGATTCTCAATTTCCACTGACACCATTACACTCCAGATTTGCCAAATCACACATGGATGGACATCACTGGATTTTTGAGTTGCAATGGACCGTGGAGAAATCAAATCCCACCTGCTCGTTTACAGGATGAGACACAGAAAAATTAAAGATTTGTCTAAGGTCACATTGTTAAAAGTGGTGGTTCTAGACTCTGAGATGCGCAGAGCCATATTCTTTCCACTGCTCCATACTGTAGCAGCTCTGGGATTTCTCCTTATAATTCCTCAGGCCACCCTGATACATTTCAACTGAACTGATTTTACAGAGAATGGTCATATCTTAACCATGGAACGATTGATTTATTTGTATAATATCGTCATGGTCCTTGGTCAAATCATAAGTGTTAATCTAGATTGAGGAATTATCCTCAATCTCTTAATTGTAACAGACCACTGGGTCTGCTTTGAGTTAACAAACACTGTTCTTTTATGTGCTTCTCACCAATACTGCCAAAGTGGGACTGCTGAATTGCGAAATAAAGAAGAATTCTAGCCAGCTCAAGCTCTCTAGAGTCTGAAAATTCAGGTCATTTGGATTTGAAATGTATCATTGTACTCCAGTGAGTACAAAACTTACATATATCATGTTAACTGGCTATGCCCTGATTACTCCCATAAATGGCCCTGGACTCACGTTGGTTCTTCTGTTGCTATTCTGGTCTCTTCTACTTCTTGTGCTTGTTTCAGCCAAGGTAATTTAGCTTCCACTGGACTTTTTTCTAAGAAAAAAGGAACATAAACAACAAGCTTAAGGGAGTTGGATACATGATCATTGTTTGCTGAAAGTTTCATCAATAAAGCAGTCATGCTTTGCGAATGCAAGCTGAGTCTTTTAGCACAGGACATGAAGCAGCTTCTGGAGTGAACAAGGCATTTCTGTCATATATTTTTTTAATTAACACATTATCCAAATACAACCAGATGATCCCACAGCACAGTTGAGCATGTTCTCCAAGTGAACATAAAAATGCCTTTTTATTAAAAAAAATGCCTTTTGCAAACTAATACCAATCTCTGTTATTTACATATTAAAGCTCTTACTTCCAGCCTATCAGCTTGCTTTCTTTTGCTACAAATTCTAGTTGTCCTTGAGTAAAGAAATCACTAGAGAAAATCAAATAACATAGCTGTTTAGAAAGTTGGGAGGAGGAGAATCTGTGCTTTGGTTTACTTAAAATTTGATTGTTGTAGTTGCTGAGGGCACTCATTACCAATTACAACCATCATGCAGGAGCAAGATGCATGCTCCCTTCTGTCCATGAAGCCTCCCTAAGATATGAAGAAATAGTAGTTATGAGAGAAGAAAGGAAATAATTTTGGACTGCTGCAGAGAAATCACAGACACTAAGAACGTGGCTGTGACAGCACCATCAACTGTATAAGGAAGGAGGCAAGATTTCCCTGATGAAGTTATATAACCAGGATTTGTCCTTTCCATGGCAGCCAATGATTTTTCTGGAAAGCAGACACAGTAAATCAATATTTGCCCAATGGTTGATTATGAGGCTGTTTGTATGGACAATGAACCCTGAAATAATGAAGGAGAATTTTACTATCCTTTCTAAGATATTAAGGAAGACTTCTTGGCACTAACAGGTGGGAATAATCCCTCTCTTATTTCCAGAAAGGAAATACTTGTCATAAGGGTTGGAAAGATGACCTCACAAAAATATTCGGAAATAATCCTGAATAGAGAGGAACGTATATCTGAGAGATGATACCAAGGCTTCCTGCCCCTGGATGCTACCCATTTCTGCTAATTCATGTGGAACAAATAGGAACAACAAAAGAAACTCTAGAAGTATCTATAGGTCTAGATTGGGAGCTGAAAGTCTTCATTCATTCCATAGTAGGCAACAGGACACATGACGAAGAGGATGTATAAAATACTGTGAGAACAAAGACTGAGAACCCTAGGGGAAATTTCCTCCTCCTCTTCCTCTTTATTCTTCTTCTCCATTTCTACATCAACCTTTTTCTCTTCCCATTCACCCTGCTTCTTTTTCTTCAAAGCAGGGATTACACCAAATTATTGTAATTCTTGTCACACCAAGAAACATTAGTGTAAGCCCAGACAGATATGAGCCCCTCTCTATGTACTGAGTCAATACCAGCTCACTTCCACTCTGCATCCCCCCAGATCACTTAAACACATCGGTCCAGCTTCTTTACATAGGTGGACGGGTCTATTGCCATCTACAGGTGAAACCATTTTTTAAGAAAGTAAGTTGAATGTAAATGCTACGATGTTGGAAAACACATTTGTTTTCCATACCACAAACTTACCTTTTGGTTTATAACATGGGATGGGAATGATACATTCCTCTTTAATGTGTAACTTCAGTTGTGGGTTGCATCCACCAACATGCTGTCCACGGTGATTGATACACAGAACAACGCGGTAACGTAACCCTCGGCCACAAGTCACTGTGCACTTGAATGAAGAAATGAGAGGCCAGTGAAAGTCTTGCTCGTGTTATGACTCATGCCAAGAAGAGCCACTCATTTACATGAATATTAAGCAAAAAAGCCTGTCAGACAAACATGTAAAGAAGGGGCTAGAAGCTGATTTTCAGTGATTCTTATGTTTCAGGGCCCCTCTTTTGCAAGGCATCCTTCCAATTCTCCATTTGAAAGGTATTTTAGATGAGGCCACAGCACAAGAAAATCTGAAATGCCCTGAAATCTTTCTGCTCAAATATGAGAGAAACCTGATAGAAGTTTTCTCAAATTTGATTAAAAATTTTTATGACATTATCCAAAGTAAGTTGTGAGCATGGAAAAGAAAAGCTTTTTTAAACTATTAATTAAAAAATCAAATTCTGATCAATCACCCCACTCTTATGACCACTGAACAAATATTCTAATCAACTGAGTGAGGTTTGACATTAGACCCTATTTCTGGGAAACTGACTCCCCAACCTCAAGATTTATCTACTTGAAATATATATGACACTGAGAGGCTGTTGCATACTGGCCAAGAAAGAAACAAAAATTCTGCCCAAAGATAAAGAAAATGGTATGATTATAAGGTATAACTATAGCAGAAGTGATCAATCCAAAGGAGTATTGCCTCCTCCTATTCCTCCTCTTCAGGAAGCTGGACATTTATTCCAACAATGCTGTCAGTATTTATGTTTCCAGAACCCCTCTTTGGAGCTGAATATATCTGTAATGATAGCAGATTCTTGTTACTGAGAATGTATTTAATTTTTGTAAAGAAATGAAAAGTATCAAAAGGCAAGAAAGGTAAATGAGATGATTTGGTTAACAACCTTCTGTTTTGAAACTATGAGTGACGATAAAGTCATGATATTGATACGGGTGTGTTGGCAGGGGTGCTATAAAAGCTCTAAAGCCGGGATCCCTGGGTGGCGCAGCGGTTTGGCGCCTGCCTTTGGCCCAGGGTGCGATCCTGGAGACCCGGGATCGAATCCCACATCAGGCTCCCGGTGCATGGAGCCTGCTTCTCCCTCTGCCTGTGTCTCTGCCTCTCTCTCTCTCTCTCTGTGTGACTATCATTAAAAAAAAAAAAAAAAAAAAAAAAAAAAAAAGCTCTAAAGCCAACACAAAACATGTAGATGAGACTTGTAAGAGCTGAAAACAAGTTCTGCAGGTTATAGAGTTAAAAATCTTGATTTCTGATGATAGATCATAATGTGGTTTTTGGTACATCACTCAGGAGTTCAATAACTGAAAATCTTACTATAATAAAATCCTCCCACCTCAGGCTACTTATTTATGTGAACAAGGTTTCCTGGTGTGTACATACAAAACAAAACAAGAAATCCGCAGTTAAAAATTAAGAATAAAATTACTGCTGAACCCATCTCTCATTCTGGCAATGGACTATTTTTTCAAGGCCCCCTCATTTTCTAGAAAGATTGATAACATTGTTTACCAAAATTTGAAATCTATTTATTATTTCTAATACTTAAAGCCTAATGGCCACAGGAAAATAAAATAAATTTATTTCAAATAAAATTAATTAATTTCCATCACCATACATATTTTCTTGGAGAAAAGTAAGAGTTTAAGCAATAAAAGACTATAAAGCATAAAGGTACTTTATATTAAGATAAATTTCTATGGGGAGAGTAGATTGAAAATGTGAGTTCAAGGGGGAAAAATGTAAACTATCCAAATTGTTCAAGAAGAACTTCTCCATGTGTTTTTTTTTTAAGGGAAAGATGGCAAGGGTAGAAATTAACATGGCATTTACATTCTGCTGGACACATTTTTTAGCCATAACACTTTTATTTTTAAAATGCCAGCATTCACAACATGTTAGAAATGACAGTCTTTTGATACTTATTATTTAAACTTACACAAAAATTTTAAATGTCAGGGCACCTGGGTGGATCAGCAGTTAAGCAACCAACTCTTGGTTTTGGCTTAGGTCATGATCTCAGGGTCCTGGGACAAGCCCCACAATGGACTCTGTGCTCGGTGAGGAGTCTGCTTGTTCCTCTCCCTCTGCTCTTCCCCCCTCAAATAAATGAATAAATAAAATCTTTTAAAAAAACTTTTAGATATCAACCTAAATATATGTGAAGGCGTATATAATTTTGCAAACATCTTTTAGGGGGTATGTGAAAAAAGGATCAACAACACCTTGATTAAAGTCTGAGGTTTAATTAAAAGTGTCCGGTCCTCAAATCTTACCTGAGACCACTCCATGGCGATCCACTTGGGGCAGTCAAACAGGTTGCAGGTCTGCATGACCTTGGGTTTGGGAGCATACATACACTTCCATTCTTCCACCTGGAGTATCTCTCCATGCATGGACTCCTCCACACACACGAAGCTCCGCCTCTGAATCCCACCTCCGCAGGACACCGAGCACGCAGTCCAAGGATTATGTTCCCAGCTCAAAAGCAAACAAATAAAAAATACATTATTTGTCATTTGCTTTTTGTTTCAAGCTTACTAAGGTGATGGATGCCAGGTGTGGTTCAGTTGAAAGCACACAGGGCTTGGAGTTATGAGACTTTTATCTTGACTGCCACACACAGTCCACAGTAACGGGTACTTCACTCCTCTGATCCTGAGGGAATACTATACCTGCCCTTGTGCCCTTCCCAGGGCCATTCTGAGAATCACATTGGTTAAAATGGAGGGTATGAAAGGATTCTTTAAACTGTCTCTCCATTATAAATACAGATAATACTACTAGAGAATAACAGAAACTGAAGGTCAGAAACTAGTCATCTGGGTGTAAAAGGGAATTCACATTTCCTGACCAACTGCAATGCCTGAGCTCCCTCTGTACTAGCCAGTTACCCAAGGTGTATTAACACCTTCAGTAATGGGAAATGTCGCTGTTTGAGGGAGCATATTCCACCTAATTCTTTTTTTAAAATACTTTATTTGTTTATTCATGAGAGACACACAGAGAGAGGCAGAGACACAGGCAGAGGGAGAAGCAGGCTCCTTGCAGGGAGCCCAATGCAGGACTCGATCCCAGGATCCTGGGGTCTCCACCTGAGCCAAAGGCAGATGCTCAACCACTGAGCCACCCAGGTGACCCCCTAATTCTTAGACAGATCTTCCTTATTATGGAGTTGAAGTCTGCTTTCCCTTAGCTCTCTGTAAAGGATCTAATATCTATCCCTCTTACGTTTCAGACTACTGCCACAGATATTTCACAATTCCTTGCAAACTACTTAGAGCTAACTGCAGAATGGAAAAAAGCAAACACGTAACTCACCGAGGGAGAGGCTGGAAGTGGTCATAGGGCATGATCTCTTTAAACCCATCACTACAAATGAAATAATTGGGACAATGTCATTTCTCAATCAATTAACATATTTATTAGTTTGACCAATATAGACTTGACATCCCAAAAGACAGAGCTCTTTCAGATTGAAAACTATTTATGCAAAGTGTTGGGAACTCTTCCTAAAAGCTCAGCTACCATCTTTTTGATTTTTGGGAACATTTCCAGCACACGCCATCCCCAGTTATATGAAAATACAGAAACTAGTGGAAGGAAAGAGTGTTTCTTAATTTAGATAAATCTATTTTTTATCATCTAAAAATATTTTTTGGATATAATATATTAATGATATTAACACACTATCATATTAGTAAGAATATTCAGAAAAACTTTATTTCATAGAATTTTTCCTTTGAAAAGGTCTCTATTAATAATTATGTTCACCTGGGATTACAGGAAATGGGCAGTTCAGTGATAGGAAATGAAATCCACTGAGAATGCTTCCTTTTCCACTTGCACACTTCTGCCGCAGCCAGCTGGCAGATGTCAGGGGGATTCTGGGACTTGATATTGTGCTGTTATTTTAAGATACTGTAGTAAAGCCAGGAAACTTCCCCAGGCAATCCAAGTCAGCAGGTACTAAATTATGCAACAGGGATAGTTTATGCATAGCTTTTCTGCTTTGGCATTAAAACTTGTACTTCCTTGCACAATGCATCATTTATACCGAATTTAATGTGAACACTTCAAAAGTCAAAACGTGGTAATGGGTGACCCAGTTTAAAAGTGAAAATGGTGAGTTCAAGATATTTATGACTAGCAGATGGACAGGACCTCATACTTGGACGAAGAGATCTTTCCTATTGTGTATGCAGGAGATACTCAAAGAGGTTCGTGACAACGGGGTAAGTATCCAAGCGCACACACACGACCAGACGGGAGAGCCCCAGACCCAGTGAGCTGGTGAGCCTGGTCCCTGCTGAGCAAGGTTACAAACACAGATAGGGCCACTGGCATGTGTTCAAGGTCACATGGTGCAAAGGTCACTGCAAAGACTGATCAGTCTCAGCCACAGTTGATTTATTTCTTTTTAGAGCAAAACCCACAGGTAATTATGCAAACCTTGATGGGCAAGGGTCCATGCTGCACTCCTTCAGTTTGGGTTTTGGTTTTACGTTTTCGGGGTAGTAATGGCAGTAATGGTCAGGAACCACCCTCTTCAAGCGGATATCCACACATTCAGCTGAATTGAGCTGATAACCTAATGGAAAAAGAAAAGGCAGTTCTGAATACTGAATGGTGTCCTTTTCACGTGGCAGTGATCACTTGCCACACAGTTTTTTTCCCCTCAAGAAATTTAACTCAATGTTTCTCATGCCTGGCTACACAATGGAACCCCTGGGAAATTCTAGCACACATCACTGCCTGAGTCCCTTCACGGTCCAATGAAGCCAGAAAGGCTGTGGCTTGGTCTAGAAAATCGTGTTTTAGGGATCCCTGGGTGGTGCAGCGGTTTAGCGCCTGCCTTTGGCCCAGGACGCGATCCTGGAGACCCCGGATCGAATCCCACATCGGGCTCCTGGTGCATGGAGCCTGCTTCTCCCTCTGCCTGTGTCTCTGCCTCTCTCTCTGTGTGTGACTATCATAAAAAAAAAATTTAGAAAATCGTGTTTTATTTTGTTTTGTTTTGAACCATTTTTAGGTTCTTTTAAGATAACTAAAATGTGTGGCCAAGATTGGGAATGATTACTGGAACTGATTACAGTAGTCTAAGCACTTTCAACGAGAAAGTTACAACAGACTCCTTTATAGAATACCTGAACCTTGGGGCAGAGGTCCATTCATTGGCCTGTCTCCTGACCGTCCCCATGACTTCCCCTCTTTGCCTGTCACCACCTGCCTCTCGGTTCCCCCAGAGATATCTGTTCTTTGTTCATATGTTCTTAAATATACATCTGCCTTATATAATGTTGTTTGAGGGTATCTGTTTTAACTAAATAAGTATTTTAAATCTTATTCTATTTTCTACTTTTCTCACTCAACATAACATTGTCGAGAGCTACCCATGTGCCTGGTAGGTGCTTCCTCCCACTGCTTAATATCCTGTTGCTGGTGTATACCACGTTTCACTCTTTTGCTGTCCTGGGGGTTGTGGGGGCATCTCTGATGCCAACAAACTTCTCTAACTAGGGAAGTAAGCATTATAGGGAGAACCCAAATCCATTTCCTATACCACCCCCTGCCTCCAAAGGCTTCAGAGGAGAAGGGATCAAGACTCACTTCCGATTCTATTAAATTCAAATTGTCATCTCTAAGGAAAGTGAACATTCCAAATGGATGAGTGCTATAAACTTTAAAAACTCACAAAATGAAGCTTCTATTTCCTGAAATATCTGATTCCAGGTTTCCTGTCACTACATAAGTGTCATGCTAAGTTAAAAAAAAAAGGCAATTTTTCAAAACCAGAATGAGCTCTTCAGGGGAAAAAAAATGCCCAAAGCTAAGCTCTCAGCCACAGCCAATTGGTCTAAAGGTTTAAAAATACATTTAAGGGCTTGATTGTCGAGAGGAATCTGATTTTATAAACCACTAGACAGCTTTCTGCAGGCCATGGGTTGGATGTAAGCTGAGTGCAGAAGGACAGACTGGTATGCATTATAAAAAGCAAGGTTGAAACCGCAAGAACGAAAATCCAAATGGAGTCAATAAAATGTTACTCGGGTGCCAATATCTGCCAGAGAATCTACAATATCAGATGGTAGCAGTGATCCCAGAACTCTCTCCAGGCTAATCTTAAGAGTCCCACGTAGATGATTACAGATGAGACCAGGAAAGTCCATCCAAGTATCTTAGGAAGCAGGGAACTAAGTCCCCTGATTATCTGACCACTCAGAAATGGCCTTTTCATATATCATGTACACTTGATTACTGATATAATTAAATTCTGGTAATTCTCTCCTTGTGGGTTTTATGTGTGTGTTTTTATTTCCTCCAACACAAAAATAGAATGAAATTATAGCTCCTTGAATTAAAGAAAAATCTTTCTTCTAAATGGAAATATACTTCTAGGAGACAAAAAGCATACAGGTGTTTATCATTTTAGGAGAGACAATTTTCCTCTGTAATTTTACGGCAGTACAGAGATAACTTAAAGAGAAGGAAATAAGGCAGATTGGCTTCCTATCCTATATTATGAACAAATGTACTGAGATTCTGCTAGTGTGCACAAAATGGCAGGCTGCAAGGGGAACCCCCAAAAGCAGCCTAAAGTCTGCCTCTGTTCTTACAACTACCACTCTGCTTCTGCTTGGTGGGCAGACTCACTGCTGGGTGCTCCCATCCATGATTCTAGCAGGGCTGAGTGTGTCTTTCATTTGGTCCCCATGTATGAGACATATTTGTTTTCCTTCCAAGGATTTAATCAACGGAACTAAGCCAAATCCCATTACAAATGTCCCTCCCAGAAAGTGGAAAGCTTCTCTTTTATCTTCTGTGTCTGAATGGGAACATCTCTCTGAATAACTGGGTGTGAGAGTTAGCAAATAAATTAAAAAGAAAGAGATGTTTGTTTTCCTGCTGAGTAAGAATAAAAAAAGCCCCACCAGCTCTTTGCTTTTGTTTTGGGGGCCATGAGACACTCTGTGTTCCCTGGAGCCATGACCCACATGACTCTGAGGTGGTAGGATTCTGCTTCTGGATATCAAGTGTACAAGGAGGGATCTATAGATATGTCCCACTTCGCCAGAGAGCTTTTCACTATCAGCACTGAGTCATGTATGTATCTCATAATTCATCACCAGAAAATGCCAGGAGTGGGGATGGCCAGAACTCTGTAGATCATGCAGAGACATGGTTAACAAGATTCAGGCTTGTCTAGACTCTGACATAACAGGTATTTCCCGAGCACTCACTAATTGCCAGGCACTGTACTGGGCTCCTTGACATGTGTCCTCTCATTTTGTCTCCCAATGATGCTGCAGGGAAGGGGGGATCATCCTGTTTATGGATGATCAGATTGATGTTCAAAGATATCTCAGAGCAAAGTAGTGGCAAAGCCAAGGAGTGAGTCCAGGTCCCTGAACTTAAGCTCCATGGCCACACTGCCTCTGGATGTAAATGTTGTCACACAATTTTTGGAGAACAAGTTTGGCCAGAATGAGCCTGAGGCCCAGGTCTGAAATGACTCATGGAACTGACACAGATCATGGTCTCAATTCCAAACACTGTTTCACCTCAATCAGCTTTCAACAAGACTAAATGTGTTGTAAGAATTTCCTTGGGGTCACTGTTGCAAGGTCACTGACTCAAAGCTCTGAAGGAGCTTCTGCCTGAGAACAATGTTCAGCATGTTCAACAAAACTGGATTTCACGTTCAGGGGGAAACAAGAATGGCCTGAGAGAACGTGAGGTTCTGGCAGGGACTTAAAGATGATCTCCAGCATTTTGTTTCCGTCGTATTTATTTTTGTGATTGTGTTCTATTTATGGCAACAGATCACAGTTTTCCACTCTGAGGTGATCATATTAGATCCTTTTTGGTGCCTATGTTTATGTAAATTTTTAAAAGGTCCATTGAAAGAAAAAAAACGTAAGTTATAGTACAGGGGTAACACAGATACGCAAAAGCAGTGAGGTTAATATGGCTACAGCTGATATCCAAAGCCACTGCTTTAGAGAGCAGTGGTTCTTTTTTTTTTTTTAAGAATGAATGAATGAATTTATTTGACAGAGAATGTGCACAAGCAAGGAGTGCAGCAGGCAGAGGGAGAGGGAGAGGAAGAAGCAGGCTCCCCACTGAGCAGAGAGCCTGACGCGAGACTCTATCCCAGGACCCTAGGATCACAACCTGAGCTGAAAGCAGATGTTTAACCCAGAGCCACCCAAGTGTCCCATAGGGAACAGTGGTTCTTAAGCTTGAAACTGCACCATAATCTCTTGAAGGGACTGTTGCACAGGATTGATGGACCCCAGTCCCAGAGTTTCTGATTCAGCAGGTCCAGGGTAGGGGCCAAGAATCTGCATCTCCAACAAGTTCCCATGAGATGGAGATGTTCCTGGCCCAGGAAGCCCACTTTGAGAATCACTGCTATCAGATCATAATCTAGGAGTCTACTGCCCACGCCTGGCCCAAGAAGAACTCACTGGGAAGGTTAACTTTTTACCTTGTTTCTAGAGCCCCATGCAACCCCCAGACTGTTTCTCTTCCATTCCCAGCAACACCAGCTCCTTCTGGGGTCTGGGCCACTCAGTGGTCCCACAAAGCACCTGCCTCCTGCTTTCACTAGGAGCCTAAATCCCAGAAGAGAGCAGTCTGACGTACACATTCAGGAGAACCTGACGCTGGCTGAGGAGCCCTCCGTGATAAGCCTGTGGTTTAAGGGAGAAAAGGCAGAAGCTGCACTCAGTTTGTGGCTCTCTGAATAAGCTGATATTCTGTAGCCCTGCAGGGAAGCAGTGGTTTGGGGCCGGGCTGACTTAGGCTGGGCTGAAGGAGGAGGATTTATTCTAGTCCTTCAAACACAACCATACCTGAGCCTGCGTACTCTGATCTGTTCCCAGGTGTGGTAGGTGGTTGGGGGAGATATAAGAGGAAAATCAGTTAGAGCACGGGGCTCTGGCAGCAGACAGACCTGGAGCTAGATCCTAGCCATGCTGTCTACTAGCTGAGCAAACAGAAGCTCATTCTTTAGCTTTTCTATGTTTCTGTTTGTTCACACATAAAACAGGCATGGGGCGGGTGGCGGCAGTGGTGGGGGGACCTGGTGGCTCAGTGGTTGAGCAGATGTCTGTCTGCCTTTGGCTCAGGTCATGATCCTGGAGTTCCAGGATCGAGTCCCACATTGGGCTCCCTGCAGGGAGCCTGCTTCTCCCTCTGCCTATGTCTCTGCCTCTCTGTGTGTGTCTCTATTATATAAATAAATAAAATCTTAAAAAAAACAGGCATGAAAAGAGATCTTTCACAGGTTTGTTTGGAAGAAGAAATGTGAAGATGAGTGCCCTAGCTCACGGTTTGATACACGTAAATGCCCAGCACTGTTGCCCGGTGCTTTTGGAGGAAGTATCAGCATTGAGTCCCTCTAGCAATTCTAGTAACTGTGGTTCCTGGAGTGGCACTAGTGTTGAACCATTTACCTTCAATTTAAAAATTCAGTTCATTAAAAGAGACTTATCTCAATGGAGGCTCTGGTCGCCTCCTCATTTCCTCCAGGCAGACACTTCCTCCATATTAAACAGATGATGATCCTCCACATGAGCCTGCAAATATGTGTAGCACATGTGCAGAGCCATGGGTTAACTGGCCCAGAGCCTTCCTCAGCTGCCTGTGAAATCTCTGAACTAAGTGATCAGTGAGCAGGCTCTCCCCCTCACCACTTAGCAGCTACCCCTTCTGTCTTTGGTAAGTTCTGTTTTGGTACCTGAGGGAGGATAGGGTGAAAATCTAAATGTTGGAACCAATGCATCCACTGACTCGATCAGACGGGGCAAGCAACCTGGTCTCTCTGTTTTTCAGGTTTTCCGTGGATAATTAAAAATAATACATGCTTTAAGGATAATCAAAACAAGATACTCAAGAATTAATGTAAATATGTTTCCTGCTTTTTGCTATAAGTAAAAAGTGTTTTCCAAATCCTGTTTTCATCTGTCTTCAAGAATAAAGATAATACCACTGCATTCCAGCTGCTGAGTGGATGCCATGTATTACACAAACACCAATTTTGAAGTCAGCTTAAAAAAACACAAGTGTGTCATTTCTAACTCTGAGCCCTGGCATTCACAAATGAAGTCTGTGCCTCACCTCCTCCGCATGTTACAGTGCAGGGAAAGAAGTCAGTTTGTCTCCACTGATGACTGATCGGCTGGTAGAAGAAGAACTGGACCACACTGTCTTTGGCCACAGTGTACCTGGTCTGGACAGAGAGAACTGTGGTCATGTATCTGCATACACCGAGTAGTGCTTCCCGCACCTTTCCAAATGTGATGAATCTATTTCACTAATGTAGGTAGACAATCACATATCAATCACAACAAACTATGGCACATGAAAATTCCAAAAATTCTAACATGTGATAACATTTCATTTAGGTTTGGCATACATGGGGGCTCAACAGATCTTGAACCAGTTTCCCTGGAGTCATCCTTCCAGAGGATTCCATGCCTGTGAATGAGTTCTCAAATGTGTAGGTGGGCTTGTTTGTTTGTGTAACTTCTTTTTCCTATCTTATATATCTGATTTTAATTTCCATGAGAGCAGGGACTGGGACAGGCTGGGTTTGTTTACAACATGGGACATAATTGGGATTCTTACACTTTCAATAATAACATCTTTAAGCAAATCCTTCCAAAAAGGTTTTCTGAAAGCACAACAGCAAAAACTCAAACACACAGAAATACATAGTGTTTACACATGATGTTTACTAGTGCTCCAGAATCTAACTAAAGAGGAGAAAGGGTACCACAGTGCATGTGCAAGCAGAGGGAAGAGGGAGGTACTGCTGCAGGACTGATGCAGCAAAAAGAGAAAAAGAAAGATGAAAAAGAAGTTGAGTTCATGCAGAACTGATCCAGAAATGCCAACACACATCACATATGGAGTTCAAGTCAGAGACCTAGAGTAAATGAGTAGCCGATATTTGATGATGTAATTTCTGAGAATTTCCTAGACTTTGAGAAAGACAGGTATACTTGGTTCAAAAAATTTTTATCAAGTTCTGAGCAGACATTTTTAAAAAGTTACAACCACCAAGATAAAGAAAAATCTTAAAAGTTCAGAAAGAAACAAATAAGATTACCTACAAAGCATTGGCATCAAATTTCTCACAAGAAACACTGGATTCAAGAAAACAAAATCATACCTTTAAAGTGATGAGGAATAATAACTTTTCATCTAGAATTCTTTAAATTATTAACCAATAATCAAAAATCAATTATCAATCTATGAATGATCTATGATCAAATTAACAATCATAGTCAATGAAATAAAGATATTTTCAGACACAAAATGACCAAAACTTTACCACTTGAGACCTATCGGAAAAAAAAAAGAAAAAGCTACTAAAAGGTACCAAACAAGACTAATAATAGAAAAGCAGAAGAAGGTAGTGGATGCAAGAAACATAATGATGAAATCAATCAGTAAAGCTTATTTATAAATGTAAATAAATAAGAGTTGACTAAAAAAATAATACTTTGATGTATCTGATTATAAAACAGTATAAAAAGTCCAGCACGAGATGTGTTGTTGGGGAGGAGAGGCAGAGCAGTGTGGTGGGGGAGGGGGTGTACAGTGGTCATAGGGGCACAAAACATTTCTAAAAGGTTTTTCTCTAGCTATGGAAGAATGGTTTGTCTCTGATGACTCCTGCCAGTGAGAATAAGTGAAAACACTGCCTAAAATATTTTTTAATGTAGTTGAAGGCACCAGAGAACTACCATACTAGTGAGTGTTTGCAGGGCCAAGATCCCAGACACAAAGGAAGCCCAGAGAGGTGAGCATAACACTTGGCACCCCTTCTGGCACCACATTTCTGCTGAAGGCATTTTCCATCATGCAAGTGGTGACTGAGTGGCTGAGAAGCTGAGCAGACCTGTCATCAGACTCGTGTGGCTGAGAACAAACACTGGAGCCCAAGATCCACCAAGCTGATGCCTTACTGGTAAATGCCCCAGGCACCCAACTGAGACCCCAAAAAGCTCTCTCCTAGGAAAAAGTGTGAACTGGAAGTAGACCAATTTTCAAAGGGAATGAAGGCCAGGTTCAAATTACTTCAATTCCTGTTGGCTGAAGGTAATTGGCTGCTAATCTGTGTTCCAAAAGCAGAAATTAATCCAGTGTCAAATCATATCTATAATCTTTCATCTACTATACGTAGCAAAACTTAAAAATAACTAGGCACACAAAAAGTAAATTTTAATAACAACCAAAAAAGGTGGAGGAATAGACTATAAGTGGAATTACAGAACATCCAGGTATTGGCATCACCTGATAGAAATTTAAACACCTATGTATACTGCCACCACCCCCTCTAATTCTAGCTTTGGCTTCAGCTCATGTCTCACAATACTCCTTCTAGTCCCAGGGTATTAGAGCATCACTGTTAGCACACAGCTCTCCTTAGGCTCTGTTTTTTAGAAAGCCTAGGCTAAGATACGGTGGTTACAATGCTTAAGAAACTAAATGACAGGGATCCCTGGATGGCTCAGCAGTTTAATGCCTGCTTTCAGCCCAGGGCGTGGTCCTGGGGTCCCGGGATCGGGTCCCACATTGGGCTCCCTGTGTGGAGCCTGCTTCTCCCTCTGCCTGTGTCTCTGCCTCTCTGTGTGTGTGTGTCTCTCATGAATAAATAAATAATTAAAAAAGAAACTAAATGACAAGAGAGAGAATTTCACTACAAACAAGAAGCTACAATAAAAATAAAATGGCAGGGGTGACTGGGTGGCTCAGTTGGTTAAGCATTTGCTTTTGGCTCAGGTCATGATCCCCAGGTCCTAGAATTCAGCCCCCGCATCAGGCTCCCTGCTCAGTGGGGAGCCTATCTCTCCCTCTCCCTCTTCCCCTTCCCACCCCCATGCATGTTCACTCACTCTCTCTCTCAAATAATAAAATAAATAAAATCTTAAATAAGTAAGCAAATAAATAAATAAAATGGCGATTCTAGAAGTCTGAAGCATGATCATTTAAATCAGTATCTCAATGGATAGACTTGACAGTGGATTAGACTGGAGTTCAGCAAATATTTTCATAAAGAACTAGATAGCAAACATTATAGTTTTCAGGCCATATCATCCCCATTTCAGTTATTTGATGTGGCTGGTATAGTGAAAAAGCAGCCACAATCTATAAACAAATGGCTTTGGCTGTGTCCCAGTAAAATTCCACTTACAAAAACAAGCCATCAGCTTGCTGGCTAGGATTTGCTGGCCCCTGGATTACACATACTTGAAGAGAGAATCAGCAAATGGACAGGTAAGAAGGAACTGGAAAGTAGACATTGAGAGATAAAGGTATATACCTATAGCCCCAGAAAAAGAGAACACAGAGAATACAATAGAAATAAATGTGCAGGAGCAATAAACAAGAATCTTCCAAATTTCATGGCGGATATCAAACCAGAGTTGTGAAGCACCACAAACCTCAAGCAGAAGAGAGCCACTAATTACCTCACAGTCAAATGGATGAAAACAAAAACCAAGGAGAAAACACTTAAAAGCAGCAAAACCTCCTAAGGCACAAAAATAAGACCAACAGCTGACTTCTCAACAGAATTAACGGAAGCCAGAAGACAATGGAGCGATACCTCTAAAGTGCTGAAAGAAAATAGTTTCATAATGGTAAAACAGTCACATCACTAGAAGAGGTAACGACTCTAAATGTGAATGTACCTAACAATCTAGCCTCAAAGATAAATAATTTGAAATAACAAGATTAGAAAAAAACTAAATAAAGGAACAGTCACAGTGGCAGTTTTACCATATCTCTTATGGTAACTAATAGAATGAGCAGACAACAACCAGTAGGCTATTATTTTTATTTAATTTTTTAGTAGGCTATTGTTTTTAATAAAACCATTAATAATACCATGATAAAATTGACATACGAACAGTGATCAACAACAGAAGATGATGCATCATATCTTCTAATATTTGCTATGTTCTGAGCCACCAATTCAGTTTCATCAGATTTGAAAAAAATGAACATAATATAGAATATGTTCTTTGACTAAAGTGAAATTAAGCTATAAAATAATGATGAGATTACTGGAAAATTTCTACATACTTGGATAAGACACTTCTAAATATTCCATACATCAAAGAATATATCACTATGAAAATTATAATACAATTTAACTGAATGATGATGGAAAAGATTTCATATCAAAATTTGTGGAATAAGGGGATCCCTGGGTGGCTCAGTGGTTTGGCACCTGCCTTTGGCCCAGGGCACAATCCTGCAGTCCCGGGATCGAGTCCCATGTCGGGCTCCCTGCATGGAGCCTGCTTCTCTCTCCTCCTGTGTCTCTGCCTGCCCCCCCCCCCCCCCGTCTATCATAAATAAATAAATAAATCCTAAAACAAATTGTGGGATAAAATATAAGGCACACTTGGAATGAAATTCATAGACTTAAATACATGTACTATGGGAAAAAAAGGAAGAAAATAAATGACCTAAACAGTCAACTCAAAAAGTTAAAAAAGGAATAATTTATTGAATCCAGAGAAAGTGGAAGAACAGAGATAATAAAGATGAGAGTGGATATTAATGATATAGAAAGGAAACTACATTAAAATTGGTAATAAAGTCAAAATGTGTTTCTGTGAAAAGTCTAATAAAAGCAATAGCCCCCCCCCAAATGACTGATCAAGTTAAAAAGTAAGTAGGAACAATCAGTATCAAGAATGAGAAAAGGCACTCACTACAGATCCTGGAGACAATGAAGAAATAATAAAAGGATATAACAAGAAAAACCTCTGTCAACAACTTTTAAAGAATTAGTTGAAATACAGACATACCTTGGAGATACTATACGTTCCATTCTAGACCACCACAATAAAGCAAATACCACAATAAAATGAGTCAAATGAATTTTTTGGTTCCTTGGTGCATATAAAAGTTATATTATATAGCACATTAAGCATTCAGTAGCATTATGTCTAAGAAAATAATGTATGTACCTTAATTTAAAAATTTTTTGCAGAGCACCTGGCTGGCTCAGTCAGTAGAGCATGCAACTCTTGATCTCAGGGTCCTGAGTTTAAGCCCCATGTTGAATGTAGAGATTATTTAAAAATAAAAAAAATCTTAAAAAATTAAAAACTAAAAATACTTTTATTTTAAAAAAATAAGCTAAAAAAATAAGCTCAGATGGTAAGCTTTCAGCTAGATGTTGTTACTGATCACAAATCACCATCA